TTGATCGGCAACCAGTGGCTATTACATGTTCCTAGGCTCTAATCTAATTAGCTAGAGTGCCAAGAAACAAAGCACTGTTGCTCGGTCATCTACATAAGCTGAATATTGCTCCTTAGCTCACACAGCTGCAGAAATGACTTGGGTTTGCAAGATTCTCAAAGATCTTCACTTCTCTCTATCTACACTGCCTACACTTTGGTGTGACAACATCTCACCTATATCCTTAACATCCAATCCAATTTTTTCATGCTAGAACAAAGCATGTTGAGATTGACTATCCCTACATTTGAGAATTGGTTCTGGCAAATCTTCTCAAAGTGCAGTTTATTTGTAGTGAAGACCAATTAGCTGACCTTCACACCAAGGCCCTATCTAAAAACATATTCAACTATCTATGTTCCAAGCTTCCAATTGGAATCATGTCTGATTCCCCTTCTTGCTTGAGGGGGTGTATTAGGGAGAATGACAAGTCATCCATTCCAGTTAATGTTAAAACTAAATGTAATTAGTTGTGGTTACTGTTGTAATTAGTTAGGGCAGTTAGGGGTATCTATGTAAATAGTCAAAAAGCTATATATACCAACACACTGTGTAATTCATCATTCAGTTAATGCAATAAGAAAACTTACAAAGGAAGTTTTCTATTTCTTTAACAATTATATAATTAATTATTGTAATGTTCTAATTACTTACAAGCCTGCGTTACTAGTTTTTAAGAAAAATCAATCATTGAATTATAAAAATCCGACAATTATATAATATAAAAAATAATTCACTTGACACACTTTTTCACTAAGGTGATAGTTCAGGGACTAAATTTTTAATGAATTTGGAGACTTATTTTATCGAAAAGATAATTCAAGGACCTAATTTTCACTAAGGTGATAGTTCAGGGACTAAATTGGTACTTCACCCTATTATATAATATAAAAAAGGTGTCTGTCAGAAATAAAAAAACAATTTATCATCATTGACCCATGTCTTCTCAGGCCACTCTATAACTGTGAAGATATTTCAGTGTGTTAGGAAAACGGTCTGGTACATCAAGTGTAATAATACAATTGATTAGAAACTTAAAAAAAAATCTAACCAATTATATTATGACACTTGATGTACTAAGCCGTATTCTGACACACTCAAATATATCTCCTACCACCGCATGCAATAAGATAATTTCCTTCATGTATTGGCCATTGTTATTGTGGTGGAGTTTGAATCGAGGACACTGACCATACTTCCTCAGAAACCAGACCAATCTATGTTTACACATTAAACCAAAAGGGCCAAAAGCCCCTTTGGGCATAAAAGCATGATTGGAGAAGAATGAATATAATTTTATAATTACATCATGAAATGTATAAGAATTTATATGGCATAAGTATATTGTTACAGTAACGTTCTTTACTAATAATACATGAATACGTGTTATTCTTTCTCCATATATCTTTATAAAATTAATACGGAACGTTATCGCCACGGTGTATGTGTGCAATACAAGTTGTTCTCCAAAAAATGGGCTTCATAATCTCTCTATATATGATATATGTTGGGAAATAATAAAGGATTATTTTAAAGATAGAGAAGATCCTTCTGGAAGAGAGCAAAAGCATAAAAAGGTGTTTCCCTTTTCAGGTACCACCCAATATAATTCAATCATAGATATGTATGTATCGCCCATTTCTTTCAGAATTGTTCCACTATTTCTATTTACTGGCCAAACCATCTTTATAGGTCACGACTCATTAATGGACAAAGAGCTTTATGAGTTGTCAATTATGACATTTCTTTTGTTCCTGAGGTGCCTTCAAAGGCGGAGTAGGATTCTCTCCCCTCTTATTCACATCCTCTTCCTTCCCCTCTTCTCACACTTTGTTTTTTGTCTTATTGTCTTTATAAAAAAAAATCAATATAAGATGTTGACGTGGCTTAACCGTAACTATTCAAGTAGGAGGGAAGGGAAGGGGAGAGAGATTAGGAGGGGAGAGAATCCTCCTCCCTCAAAGGCTTAAATGTTCCTCCACAGTAATTTGTAGACATTCAATTAATGTTATTATTCTACACAAATTATAGCATGTGTATTTATTTTTATTATGTATTCTAAAAATTGATGTATGATAGGGGTCCCAACGGATATTCTTTAGAGGATTTTATAAAAAAAAAATTGAGTACGAGTAACATATATCCAAGTTATAAAGGATATGTATGATGAAGTAAGGACTACTGTAAGAACTCATGAAGGACAAACTGAAAACTTTCCCATAATTGTAGGGTTACATTAATGCTTTCCCATATATCCTTTTGCATTGGTAATGGATGAGTTAATGTGACATATCCAAGATGATATTTCTTGGAGTATGATTTTCGCAGACGATATAGTATTGATAGATGAAACTTAGGAGGGAGTAAATGCAAAGCTTAACCTTTGAAGGGGGGAGAGTGTTGGAATCTAAAGGACTTTGCCTAAGTAGGTCAAAGACAGAGTATACATAGTGCAAGTTCAGTGGGAGCAGAGGTGCAAATGAGTTAGGGGTGAGATTGGAGATCAAGAAGTGCCAAAGAGCGAACACTTTCGCTATCTTGGATCTATCTTGCAAAAGGACGGAGAATTGGATGGAGACCTCAATCACATAATACAAGATAGATGGATGAAGTGGAAGAGTGCATCGGGTGTGTTGTGCAACCGTCGTATGCCACTAAAGCTTAAGGGAAAATTTTATAGGACGGCAATAAGGTTAATAATGCTTTATGGCATAGAATGTTGGGCGGTGAAGCATTAACAAGTACACCAAATGAGTGTAGTATAGATGAGAATGCTTCGTTGGATGTGTGGGCACACAAGAAAGAACAAGATTAGAAATGAGGATATTTTCCTAATCAGATAAGACTTCTTTCAAGTAAGTAGTCCTAATTCCATTTATTTAGGATATTTACCTAATTACTCCAAGATATTATTTACACAAATATCTTGGAATATTCCCACTTAAACACAACCCTAGGGCCGGCCCTTACTCCTCTTCTCTCTTATAAATACCCATTTTATCTCCAAAATTCGTGAAGCTTTAGCTACCCTAGAAAAAGCCTTTCACCATATAGAAAAAGCCAAACACTCATTCTCTCAAAGTTTATGACTTAAGCATTAGAGGTCCTTTGCCCAAACCCCCTCTCATCGTGGGCGTGTGAGGCTTTTGGTCTTTGATCAAGGTGTTGATTGTTTTGCAGGTGTAGATTCGCCAATCAAAAGAAGGCGGAAATTTGCATCCACAATTACGAGAAGAGGCTCGGGGTTAAAGGGGTAGGGAAAGACTTAGGATGACTTGGAAAGAGACTATAAGAAAAGACTTGGACTGCTTGGATCTAACAGAAGAAATGGCATAAAACCGAGCGCAATGGTATTCTAGGATACATCTAGCTGATCCCATTGAGTGAGATAAGGCTTTGTTGTTGTTGTATTCTAAAAATTGACGTATCAATCATATCGTCTACATATATTAGCATGTAAATTGATAACACTATAACACTATGTGATAATATAGTTTATTTATACAAAAATTTCTTGTTGAATGGTGTGAACACAAGGTAGCAAAATTAATTTCTTTCATAATTGCTTTACCTGTCACACCGTCTTGTAATAAACAATTCTTTGATTGAGTATCATGCAAGTTAAAATAACAAATATGACATCTTCTTTAAAATTAATTACCTTATTTAGGGCATATAATATATGACATATAACCAAAGATCATCCATCACCATGCACAACACATTGTGGAGCCACACTATGTTAAAAAGGTGGAGTGGTCTATAAAGAACCAAATTAAAGCATGGATTTGTTTATCTATAAATTTAATTTACCACCTTGATAGCAACAAACCCATCTAATCTAATTCTAATCTCTAAATTCCACTAATTGCAATTATAAATTCTTTTTTTATGCACATGATATGACTGGATTTGGTTTAGTTAGTGAACAAGTACCTTTATCTAATCCTGGATGTGCTGAAAGAGAGAGAGACCTATGCTTTTTATGGAACTATAGACTCAGCTATATGGTTTGAAAATCCAACCCTTTGCTTACTTCTAAAAGAAAAAACTTTATAGCCTCTAGTATTACCGTGTAATGGTATTTTTTTTATGCATGTAAGTTGGAGGTTGTCTTAGAAAACTTTTAAGGTGTCATTTTGATAGTTCATTTGTCTCGTGTCTTTGTAGTGTATGCTTGAGTAGTTTGTTGATTGTGTTTTGCAGGTCATTTTTAACATTGAGTTTACAACTTTAAAAGTCCATCATCCAAACAGGATTAAAGCATTCACGGCTGATTTGATATCATAGTTTGAAAATTTACTTGTACTTTTAGCCTTTTTGTTTTGGGTTACATTTAGGATCTTGCAACTCTTAAGATTTCGTCTTTTTTTTTTTTTTTAATAATAAAAATGAAGGAATACTGCTTGGCTTCTCATGTGTAAGGTCTTTCTTTACTATCGACAAGTCATAGTCTTACGCAAAATTCATCTTTATCTCTATATATAAAGGGTGAAACATTCAAATGCCAAAAATTACAATTGTGAATTATTAAGGGCTAAAGTAGTAAATCAAGACATTTTGAATTAACTAAAACAATCATTCTTGGATTAAACTACCAGTTACATCATAATGAAAAATGTATGAGTTGTTTTCAGGGAGATTATATTTACACGTCCTAAATTATTTCGTCCGCACCCTTTTAACTTTTTAATATTTTTCTATTAATTGTTAGTGGTGCGTAAAATATAAAAAAAATATTAAAAATATTAAAAATAATAAAAAGGTCTGGGAGAAGTAATTTGTGATGTGAATATAATATCTCTTTATAAAACGTTATACACGGGCCCTTAAGTTTTGGCATCTTTGATTCGGTATCCCTGTTGGGCTCAGTGCTTATGATCCGGAAGAAAACTTGATCAGGCCCAATCCAGTCCAACCCAAATTCATGCGTTTCCCTATTTTCCCCTGCTCCCTCGCTCGCTCCCACTATTTTCGCCTTCCTCTCTCTGAAACAAAACGTAAATCCCCAAAATGCCCTCACCGTCGCTCCGCCTGTCCACCACCACTCACCACCACTTGGGGTTCAACCACACACTCTCTTCCGCGGCGGCCCAAAACCTCTTCACCTCTCTTTCCTTCCCGCCCTCCACTTTCCCAAAATACCCTCGGAAGGTCGCTGCCCAGTGCCAAAAGAAACCAGTATCCAACAGCAGAGGCAGAGCCAGGGACGGGGGCTTGCTCAATGTGAAGGGAAAATCGGAAAATGTCTGGAGCGTTGACAACGAGCTCGCTGCGAAGGATAAGGGGAGAGGGGGAAGCCCGAGGAGAAGAGACAAAAGGAGGGTTGTGAGGAGGACGAGAAGCGATGGCGGGAAAAGTGTGTTGGTCTCTGGTGCTATGTTAATGGAGGTCGAGACCGTTCTTCAAACTCAGGTATTTTCAAATATTTATTGTTTATTTGTTTGCTTAATTGTATTTTATTTTTGGGGTATTGAGTTTGGTTTTTTTTTTTTTTTTTTGTTTGGTTGCTGAGAAAATGTCTGGAAAATAATAGAGAAAATTGAGTGTTTAGAGTTGGAAATTGGCTACATGGTAATGAGGACAGTTGGGAATTGGGCACTTGGTAGAAAATATACCTCATGCTCTGGTAGTGGCTTCTATATTTTCCATTACAGCATTTGGTCATGAATTTTTATATGTTAGTGTTCGAATTCGGAGATAATGGAAAGAAGTAGAATTAAGAAGTAGCTAAAACATTAGTTTACTACTTCTTGTTGGTTATCAAGTAAAACGAAGGATTTTTATTCGACGACAATTGGCACTCTTGAGAGTGCTCGAGACTCATGCTGCTTCAAATTTTCTAGGAGTAACTATATTTGAAGTTCTGCCTTCACATCTTGGGAAATTTGCACAACTTATTGCCGTCAATCAGAACATTTGTGAAATTTTTCTGAATAAACAAAATGGAAATTATTTGTGCAAATTTTGTGAGAATATGGGTATTCATGTAGGTGGTTGCTATACAGAAATTTGAGGCAGCGGTTTTGGTGTCTTAAAGTGAACCTAACTCAACGGTGGTTTTTCCTGTCAGGAACCTGTAATAAGACCAGCATGGAATACATTTGCTAGTAGCGTCAGTGGGATATGGAAGGGGGTTGGAGCTGTCTTTTCACCCATCACTGCTGAAATGGAACCTATTGAAGTCGGAAGCAGGAATGAGCACCTATATGATTGCTATACTGTTTCCCGCATTGAGGATGTTCCATCTTCGTCTGGAGGGCCAACATCTCAAATCCAGAGGAAGATTAATTGGGTGACTCTAAACCCTTATGGTGAAATACCACAGCATAAAGTTGGAGATGCAGCTTTACCCAAAAGTTATGCTGACAGAAGTGGGAAAAATCGTGTTTTGCCTCAATTTGGGTCTTTTAACTTTGAAAGAAGTGATGTGATGGAAGAAGATCTCATGGGCAAGGAACCTGGTCTTGTTTTCTTTGAGGTATGCTTGATCCTTGTCCTACGTCAGTGACTTTTCATAATGCATGCTAAGCTAGTGCTACGGTACCAAGAACAAGCGATGACATTTTTAGTTTTCAGATTAAGACTTTTGGACTTTCTTGCTGTTTGCATTTCTATATTATCATTTCTTGCTATTGAGAGAATGCTTAAGCAGTTATAAATGTATTTTAGGTTTGAAGTGACTACTTGCTTCTTTTTTATTGGGTTATAATTCCATTTTTACAGTAGTCCCATGCACCTCAGGTTGAATTTTAGAAAATGTATGATTCATCAATTTTTGGCCTATAAGATAAACTACGTATTCAACTTTTGCAACAAATACACTATGACTAAGAACTTATTTAGTATTGAGTCTGATAAATGTGAATCTTGTTTAACATCGAGGTAGCTTTTTGAGAGTTTTCAACAGTGTATTCCTTTATTACTTGGAAACAACCTTGCCTTTAAACAATGAGTCCATGAAAGAGAAATAAGGGGTCTTTCTTTTTCTGTTTTAACTTTTACCAATGAACACTAATGGCAACTATTTAATGTTCTGATTGATAATGTGCAGGATGGATCTTATTCAAGGGGCCCTGTTGATATCCCGGTTGGTGAAGTTGATGATTCTCAATATTACCTTTCACCAACTTTCAAATTTGAACAGGTAAGTTTTACATGGTATGCATGGTTGATTTTCAGCGTCACGCGTAAATCTGTTTTGGTAAATTCATGTTTTCATTCATTCATGCCAATGAGCAGGGGATGATTGTTTTGTTTTTGTGGACTTGCAATTTCAATGTCTGTATAAAATATAAAAAAGCCAATATTGCACATCATTAACTTGTGCATAGAGTAAAGATCTCCCGCTGATTAGTTAGTTGAATTGTGGAATTGATTAATATACCTTTTCTTTTACTAAAGTGGTTGGTATAAATGGTCTTGCAAACTAAAGCTGAGAAAAATGGAACATTTCTTGTTTAACTTAAAAACTAAGTTTCTTACTCTTTTTTGGTCTAGTGCTTGGTTAAAGGTTGCCATAAGAGACTTCGTATCGTTCATACTATAGAATTCAGCAATGGTGGTTCAAACATACAGATAATGAGAGTAGCTGTTTATGAAGAGCAGTGGGATAGCCCTGCCAATCTTCATGACCAAAGGTATCATAAGCTGCAGTTTACTTCACATTGAAGTTTGTGACATTTGTTATAAATTGTATACATTGGTACTATTTAATTGGAACGTGAATTCGCTTTATGTTATTAAAAGTCTGTTTGGGCAACTCTAACCGCCATAAAGCTTTTGCATATTGTGACCTTCAATTGGAATTGAAATCTTCATTCTATTGTTACTGCAGCATTTGTTGAAAGTCCATTTTTCTAGTTGTCACTTCTGTATTGTTTAGGTTTTTCTACCGTTTGAATTTCTTCTAGTAAGTAATTTGGGTCGTCAATTTTGTCACTGGAGAACTCATTTGATGCCTATTGCACCATAAACAGTGACCAGGAGTTGGATTTGAAACCCTTTTCTCAGCGCAAACGAACCCGGCCATCAGAGCTGGCTGGATCCTGGAAGGTATTTGAGGTCAGTGCCACTCCAATATTTGGTGAGGAGATCGATGAGATGTCTATGGCTCAAAACGATAGCACTCCATATGTCTATCTTTGCACAGAAACTCTAAAAAAGAGAAGCTTGCCTGGGAATCCAGTTTACTTCGGAGAAGAAGAGATGGTAGACATGCAAGATGTGACTATGCTTTGGCTACCGGGTGGTGTCACTGCCTATGTTGATGTAAATAAGGATGGCATCCTTTGCATTGGAGTCGGATGGTACTCTGATGAAGGGATCAACCTTGTTATGGAGAGGGATTATGGAGTAGATGGGAAACTCAAGGAGGTCCGATCAAAGTCAGAGGTAAAAAGACGGTGGTCTGATCCGCTACCTGCGTAAACTTTTCTTGAAACAGTTTTGATCTGTTTCTTCGTTCTCAATTGTTTTTCCCCGGTTTTATAGTAATTGGCTGTACATTATCTCCATAGTCTAGATTAAGAAAGAAACAACACTGAATGCTCGAAAATTTACATATTGATGGTATTCAAAAGGGAATTGTTATTAGCACTCCAACATAATCGTGCAGCACAACTTTCCTTTAAAATTTGGTGTTTTGACATTTTTACTCATTCTGGGTGCTCATAACCTCACGCCTGAACATTCTCTGCTTCATCAGGCTCTCATGGCACGGGGCAAAGAACTCATGCTGCAGAGCTTCCTCTGCGCTGATCCTCTGCCTTGGGTTTACCGTCAGGCACTTGTCCACAAGATCGAATAGCGATCTCGGAATTTGCCTGAAAAACTGACCTCTTTTTGTCCGAGCCTTGCACCAACTTTGCAGCTTCATTGACGGCAAGGATTTGATATCCAGCAACTCCTGGGAAAATCGGAAACAACTTGATTTCCAATGTAGCAGAAACTTAAACAATGGGAAGGCAACCATACAACAAGGAAACGCAGTGTTGAACATGTATACGAAATCAACGAAAAACTTCGTTGTAAATCGTTATTGATTTCGAATCTTTCGGAGGTGTTTGTTGTATCGGTTCTCAGTGTTTAGTGTATTTCTGTTCCGAAAACAAGAAGCAAAAAAAAAAAAAAAAATCGAATCAAAAGAGATACCACTGGAAATGAGGATTCCCGGTCGTGCAGCTTGGCCACTTCCCATAGATCTTCACTGCCCCGTAACGTTGCAATGTCTTTTATACTCCTGCCATGGTTGGGATATCGTCAGTGAGTAAGGACATGAGCATAAAAGGAAACGTAACGACCTATTTTTGTAATAAGCCTAAGGATTTACTGTTCCGGTTCTCCGGTAAAAGGAGTTCTTCCCATGATCAGGTAAAGGAGGGTGACTCCGGCTGACCAGACGTCAACCTTCGGGCCTTGATGCAAAGATCTCAACAACACCTGAAAAATGGAGAAGTCAAATATTAGACTCGCAAAGACAGGACACAAGGAGATATTCTGTGTGCAAGACATCCTCAAAAACAGGACGCACTGTGAAAACCTCACTTTGACTCAATTTCATTCAACTTTGATCCCATTTATTAACAGCGTTAGCAGAAAAGCATCTAAAAATAAGGGCAAAGGGGAAACCTCACCTCTGGAGCACGGAATCCCTTGGTTCCGACGCATGAACCTTCTTTCTTTTGTCTCCCATTACCTAAAGACAACTGAAGCAGTTAGCAGCCACATTACTAGTATCCTTATTTGAAAAAATTCCATCCATTTACACACCTTTGCTTTTCAATAACTTGGCAGCGGATACAGAGCCACCAGTAAAATGCAGAGACATTGGACTTGTATAGATGATTTTATTGTCAATCTTGCCTGGAGGGGCGGCAATCCTTTTCCTTTGGGAAGCAGGAGTGTTTTTTGCATCATGGTTTGGACCGAGAACCGCATCCTGCACCAGGCTGATCAACTCTTTTCTACCTAGGCACGGCAGAGGTTCCCTTGCCCTTTCTGTAGATGGGGTTCTGGTGCTTATCACATCCTTCGCAGAGGTCATACCTGAGCCCTCGGCACCTTGGATTTTATATCTATTACCACCGCCCATATCAGGATAGATTTTCAAGGGACCATCATTATCCCGCTTCCTTACATCCTTACGAGGCTCATGAGTTCGCTTAGAATCTGTTGTTTGCCCTAATTTGGTATCTGTAAGATCACCTGTTACAAACTTTTTTTCTCCGTTCAGTAGAGCAGATTTAGATTGAGGGAGAGGGACATGACTAAAGGACACGTGAGGACTTGATTTTGATTTACCTGAGAGACGTAGAGATCCATCAGTTGATCAGATGAATGTGAGATGAATTTCATAACATAATGCATGTACTACACCAAAAAAAGGCACGATAAAGACAACAGAATGCAGATGATGAGTGATTTGGGAAGGAAGCACGTCGAGACATCTGCTTTAGTGTTTGCACTTCCCAGAGTAATGGCTATTGCAATAAGATATGACGCAGGCAACACCTTGTAAAATAGCTTAAAAGACCAACTTACTTCCAATTGTGTACTTTTGAGGTAAATGCTGTGAAACAAGAAAATAGAGACTGCAAAAAATCAGATTTGTTCACTGAAAATGAAAGCATAAAGAAATAAAGTTGCACGAGCAGGGCAGCACTAGCAATACAAGATCCTAACCTTAGCAAGGTTGAAATCAATGAGGTAACCTTTGTTTAGCCTACGAGAGAAGAGGAAATTTCCAGGCTTAACATCTCTGTGCACCACATCCTGTAACCGTAAAATGAAGTTTAGAAATCCTTGAGGTTATTTGGTATCCTTCATTCATCATTTTTTAAAACGAAAAATTGGATCCATGAAGAATATTAAACAGATGTGCGATAATCGTAGTAATCTTACCTGCTGATGTAAGCAATTAAGGGCTCTAAACATGCAATAGCCATACCACTGGAGCTGGTATAGATCTATTTCTTTCTTCAACACCTACCAGTTAAGATGAAACTAGAATAAGGCTTTGAAAAAGATAGTTCTTCCAAACACTTCACTTTTGCTAAAAGAGGTTTTAATTTGATCACAACTTATCAATCTGGGGTTGCAACGTAAACCTGATACAAAAATCTGAACTGAAGCATTTCATGAGTACCTCAGGTCTGTCATGCTCAACATGTTCCAAAATAAAGCACTCACTATCACCACTTCTGAAGGAACCTTCATATTTTATAATGAAGTTCCTACCCCTGCATCATTTGGTTTCAATAGAAAATTTTAGTTTACAATTTTGCATATGGTATTTCTTTTTGAAATGAAATCTTATTACTTACCCAAAAAGCTCAAGCATTTTTCGCTCAGTATCAAAATGGTGTTTATGAGCTTTGACATGGGGATCTGAGGAGTAAGCAAAAAATATAGCATCAATAATGGCAACTTTATTCTCATGTATTTAGTGACTTATCAGTGCTTATTGTCAAAACAAAAATGAAATTCACAAGCTTTCAAACAGTCATGCAAGTAATTTTGGTTTTCTTGTAAGCTACAATGCTCACAAGACTTCTCTCATAATTTCTAATTGTTTTCCATCTTACAAGCTGTAAATTTCTCATCATTCAGCATCATAGAAAACATCTGTTTAAGAAACTCTAACAGTCAAGAACAGAATGCAAGTGGGAGATGTGTTTCGCTTACATTTAATAGCAAATATTTTTCCATCATTCTTTCGCTTAGCCCGGTAAACAGTGCCATAACCACCTGGATGATTGAGCGTGATAAATGGCAGAAAAACAACAAAAATTGTCTGAACGTTTAATTCATCTATAAACAGGACATACAACTAAATTCTGCATACCTGAACCTTCTTCTTCCTCTATGATAAAATTGTCTAACTGAGGTAGTTGTATTTTCTCCAGCTGGTCCAACAAAAAACCCAATACACATTATGTAGATCCTTCCATTTAACTACCCATCCCGAAAAAGCACAAGGAGCAGTTCAATAATACTACTTACCTGTGGAGATAAAGAGGTAGTATCCACCATGTTTTCTTTTGCATGTATGTTCTTTTTCTTGCTACTCTTCAAGTTAGGTTCTATAGAGCGAGATTTCTGATAAGTTTTACACTGATTCTCCTGTTTGGGAATGTTAACAAGTTCATTATATTCTAATGACTCCATGAGAACTCGTTCTTGGCAAGGCAAATTCTTGAACAAGCCCTTCAATTTGCCCGACGATTTTCCCAACTGCTTCTTAGGGGAAGGGCATTCAGCTAATATGGGGTCGGGCATAGACTCTGCCTTTTTCATACTCTGGTCTTTGTCCAAGGTTATGTTCACAGCATTTCTAGAGTCCAAGCAACTTGGTAGTGCTTCCCCAAGCTTCACTGATAGAACAAAATTTTCAGCTTCTGCTTCTGCCCCAAATTCAGGAAAACCTTCCTCTACATTATTTTCCACCGGAGTTTGTGCATCTTTTATTAATTGATCCGTTGAAGCTTTGCACGAATGAGTATCATGAATGCCAGCATCCATATTGCTTTGCTTGTCTTCCTCTAAGCAAAATGTGGGAGTATAATCAGTTTCATTTTCTAATCTTCTGTTGCCAGCCACAGCTTCCTGGCATGGTTTCCGATCATAACTACTACTTTGTGGAGGCAATTTCACATCTAGGAAGCATGCTGTACCTCTATCAACTTCAACTGGCTTCAGGCTGCAAGAATCTGTCCCAATTGTGAGAAGACTATGGTGTACGTCAGGTGGGCTTTCTTCATGCATTAAAGTGCTCGACTGAACACCAGCATTGCCCTCCCCATGTTCCAAATGTGTCATGCAAAAACTTGAAGACTCGGGAGGATTATAATCAAGAGGTAAGGGAACCAAAGCTCTCTCGTTATTTGAATTACCCTGCTCGAAATTTCATGACAGTTAAAGTAACAAAAGTCAACAAACACAGATACAAGTCGTCCAAGTTGAAATTACAACAGGGCATAATAAAATGGTAACATATAACAACTTCTAGTGCACGTCGGTTAGGTCAGTTGACTAAGACATCGCGCCTGCCCCTTGCACCCAAATTCAAACTTCCCTCCCCCGTGAAATACAGTAGTTTAGAATATCGTCTTGACAAAAAGATTAACGATTTCGAGGAATTTAAAAGTAGACATGAGAATACCTCAAGAAAATCGCAGTTAGAAGCATTTGGCAAACATCCCAACTTTCCATCTGCTTCACCTGATATATCATTTCAATTTTCAATTAATAAGTTGCAATAAAAGCAACGAAAATTCAAAATTTGAAACACACAAAATTTCATACCATTCTCTGTTGGTAAATGCAATCTCCTTTTCGCCGCCGTCGACACCCTCGCATTGTTCGAAACCTGCCTTTTCCGTTTCCTAGAGTATGCCTTCACATTACCATTCCGCATTGTATCGGGCACGAACTCCCCTGAAGCCGAAACCGCCGCGGCTGACACTAGTCCCTTATCCGCCAAATAAACTGGAGAGTTAGGGATCGAGCACAGCCTCGGAACACTGTCTGCAGTCGCATCGGATGATCGGCATCGCGAAGCAAGTTCTTCCGGACTAGCGGGGTGGCCAATGGTCGACAGAACGGAGCAATTGTGCCCTGTCTTTTCTCTCTCCGCCGCGCTTCTTGTAAACCGTCGCGGTGGTTGTTGTTGCCGCTGCTCTGAGCTCGTGAGGTGGTGCTCTGACATGGCGGGCTTTGATTAAACGATTTCCGGTTTGAATTGGAGAGCTGAGAGCTAACATTTCAAGTTTGTGGTGGACTCTGGCGTTTGGAGCAGCTCAAGCGGAGCTGATTTTCTGTCTCATTTTCTCGGCAACCAAACAGGATTACAAATTTTGTAATGACAAAATTAAAAATAAAATAAAAAAAGAAATGTAAATTTTATTTTAATTTTTGGGTTAAAAAAAGAAGAGAATTTTAATGGAAGTGATGAAGAGAAGCGGGAAATTGGAATTATTTTAGGCTTTCGCGCTCTTTTGACTTGGCCTCGGGAGGAAGCCGCCACAAAGTTGGAATGAAATTGCACTAATGTACCCCTCCCGCCTCGGCTAAGGTCATCTCCAACAAAATGGTATAGAGAGTCGAAAATAGCTTAAAAATCGTCTTCAATTGAGAGTTTGGCCAAAAGGTTCGTGGAATCTGAGAGGACCCCACGGAATTTGAAAAGGCCAAAGGGCTGGAAGGCTGGCTGCATGCACCCAACCAACTAACCGGGGACTGGCTAGAAAAAACATTAATCATATCGGTTATAACTGATAGGAATGCTTAAAGAGAAATTTGAATCTAACGGCTAACTGACGTCAGCTAGCCGTTGCTAGCTGGTGCTAGTTACCTTTGGATTCAAATTTTTTTTTTAGGTTTTTTGGGCCTTTTTTTTTTTAATTCTCAAAAATTCTATTTTTTTCCCTATAAATACCTAAATATTCATTCACCATTCCTCACAAAAGTTTCACCATTTCAATTCTCATATTTTCTTTCCTCTTTCAAAAATCTATCCTTCAATTTTTTCAATAATTTTCAAATGGCATCGTCTGCAATGAAAGGTAGGGCTTGGACCTGAAAAAAAAGATGAAGCTCTTTGCAAGGCTTATAGATGGGTGTCGGAAGATAGTGTAGGGGGAATTGTCAAACAAATGACGGTGTTTGGACTCGTGTGTCCAAAAAATACTTAGAGTTCTATTAAGGCACAACTCCAGTGAATATTTGAAACCACGAGAATTTTCTTCAAGATGGAAGAAACATCTTCAACCAAGTTTGAACAAATGGCATCAAGCATTGTTAGCAGCTGCAAGTAGACATGAAAGTGGCGTTAATTACTACGATGAAGTAAGTGTTTGCATAATTTATTTTAAATATTTAATTATATTACATTTAATTTCATAAATTAATTTCCTTTAATTTTTTTCTAGGTACGCCAAGCAGAGGAATTGTATATGGAGAGCAGTTTGAAACCTTTTCAGTTTCACAATTGTTGGGAAATTTGTAAAAGGTGGGTGTTATTTGAAGATCCACCACATAGAGCTCATACGCCGCTGTTCGGAATTGCATCCTCAGTTGCAGATATGGATGAAGATGGATCTCCAACCATTCAACAAATAAGGGTAGAAAATTCGTCTTCGGGTGAAGGTTCCATACCTAGGGCTATAGGACGAAACAAGGCACGAAGGTTGAAGGAAAATGGCAAGGCAAATGATGATTACGTCGCTCAACATGAAATGGCGGCCTCATTGCAATTAACAGCAGAGCAAAATGCCCTTGAGGCAAAAGAAAGGAAAAGTAGGCATGAAGAACGAGTCAAACAAATACAAGAAGAGATGAATGATAAGAATATGGAAATGAACACTTCGAATTACACTCCAATGAGTAAGGCCTATTTTGATAGGAAAAAAAACAAAAATTATGACCTGGCGGCAGTTGTTTACCTCTGACTGTACTCCTACAATGGCGGATGATGTTGATTATGGATATTAAATTTAAGTTGTTATAGTTTTTAAATTCAAGTTAATGTTGTTTTTAAATTTAATTTGTAGTTTTTAAATTTAATTTGTTGTTTTTAAATTTAAGTTGTAATTTTTAAATATAAGTTGTAGCTTTTAAATTTAAGTTCTTGGATTTGAATTTAAGTTGTTGAATTTAAATAATAAATTATGTTTGGCCCTTGGCCCTCAGTTGGAGACGGTTTTTTGTGACAGGGCTAAAACAAGCCCTATGACCCTATGACCCTCAGTTGGAAACGGAGGCAAATATGGTCATGCACTGTTCATTAAAATATTAATATCTTGGAGGGCCAGAGGGCTAAAACGAGTCATCTGGCCAGCCCTTGATTGGAGATGGCCTAAGGTGGGCATCAACCCAATCGAACCGATTATACTGCACTGAAAAGTGTGGAAGTTCGGCTAAGACACACAATGAGCTACCTAATTTAGTATCGAATTATCATTTTACGAGATTCGAACCTAAGATTTTTCACTTACAAGTAAAGAGGAATATCACCAGACCGTATTACTGAGTGACTGTTTAGTTTAGTTTTGGCTAAAGAAAAGTCAACAAACAAAATTAAATCGTAATGAATTAGTTTGGTTACAGTTTTTTAGCATTTGTAAACTAACCTAACTCGAATCGGACCAGTTGCTTTGGTATTGATATTTATATGATTTTATTTTGGAAATTTTTATTTGAACTTATATAATATAACCTCTCTTTACACTTATCTTACTATTTACACCCATATTATTTTTAATTAAATTATTAATATCTCTTTAAACCCAAATTCATAGTCCTCACAAACCCAATTCAGTTTATCTTTTACACTCATTTAAAAAAATAAAAATCCAAAATCAAAGCATTCTCTCCTCTAACGTTATCTCCTTCCAACAATTTCTTTTAATGGAGTCTCCATTACCCTCTACATTGTTGCTCTCGATAAATCCCATGTTGCTTTGTGTAACCATGTCAAACAAGTCATCCTCTTTCAACTACCCTCTTTCATTTATTTATTTTGGCTTATCCAGCACACTCGTTGGTGTGTATATATCAGCATATGTTTGCACCTAGGTCACAGTTCGAAGGAAGATAGAAGAAAAGCTAGTTGAGAGCAACTCCATTTGGTGAGAAATTTTTTTGTTCATTTGTACCAGGTGCTGTCAATTTTTTTGTAAGAGACAGAAGCATGAACATAAACATAAAAACTGTATTGCTGATGAATTTTTTAATAACATGATTTGTATTGAGTGTCATTTTTTGTTAGGTTTTATTATTGGGTGTGGGTTTAAAAATAAATTTTATTTTACTGTTAATTTTATCTAGTACTTGATGGTGATTATGCAATAGGGTAATACATACATTTCACATTTAAAGTTTAAATTGGATGTAGAGAAAAGTTATATGAGTTTAAATGAAATTTCCTTTTATTTTATTCATGTAGTTTCCTTTATGGTTACCAACTAGGTTAAGATGTTGAATTTGAAGGTTTAGCTAACATTGAAGTTATTAATCTATGAGTTGTGACTATATCAATTATTAAGTTTGATGACATGTTGGATTTTAGGATGATATGATGTACTAGAAAATGAAATCATTTAGCAAATTATGGATGGGCACAAAAAAATGTAGCAAATTATGGAAATTTGTTAGGAATTAGCTTGTTCCTCAATGGATGAGAAGGAGTGACACACCCCGATCCTAGAATCAAGGCGTGCTGGCCGTCACGTGGGCATGACGTAACCAAAAGTGCAATGCGGAAGCAAAAGATAAAGGAAATACGAATAAATAAAAACCAACTACTAGCAATAATATCCAACTAACATGCTAGAGTGGGTTTAAGTGTGAAACACATATATTCAGAGCATAAGTACTAGGTGCAGTCAAGTAGGACTATAACTAAAATTACAACACCCGCAGGTGAGTCCTACATTTAAGGAGTCTATCAGAACGCCGTGGGAATCCTCGTGGGCCACCAACATTGCTAACTAGAACCTGGAGGGGTGCAAAACAAAATTGAGTGGGTTAGTAAAACAAAACTTTTCGAAAACATTTCATTTAATAACATTTCTAACCCCTCGCTGTAAAACCTATATACTTTCCCAGAAAATAACATAACATGCATATAAACCTTCATATATCTCAAATCACAAATCTTTATCAAAAACCAGAAAGTATGCCACGGTATAAGTGTCAATAACAAATTAAGGATGCATCAATATAACAGGTGAAATAATGAATCAACCGGAGACCTTGCAACTAGTCTTGTACGGTTAATTCTATAGCTCAATATCCAACCAACCGGAGTCACCATAGTGACCTGTACGGCGCTACTTTGCACATAAATCGGAACTACCTGAAGTAGTCTGTACGATAAGAAAGGTGTAAGAATACGCTCTAGTGCTTCTCTCATCAACAACTGTATAATAATCTAAAATCACCTACAAGTCGGAACCACCTCTAATGGTCTGTACGACATGTCAGAACCCTCTAATGGTCTGTACGACATGCACCTACTTGGATCCAAGGTGAGCGTGTGGTGCGGGTGAATAATATAAGCATTAACACCAGGGGTGCAGGTTATGAGCTCTCAACACAATTCACATCATCAATAATTCACCTGAATAACATAAAACTCACCTGATACTCACATATGCGTCCACAACACCATTTCATATATATATATATGCATCCATGACAAACTCAGATATTTCATAATATGCAAGCATGGCATTTTAAAACATACTTTCATTTAAATTCAATTTTTGGGAAAAATCAATAGTATATAGGTAAATACAGAAAATAACTGCCCACTCACTGGTAAGTCGAAGGGCCGTAACCCCCGTGACGCCCTTGAATATGCTCGTCCTTGGGATAGGTATCACCTATATGCAAAACAACTATAAAAACGTTATTTTAAAGCATACAATCAACAATATGTAATAACTTCTCATAAGATGCTCAAATTGGGTATATGAATATACTACAGTGACCTACTCGACGTCACAGACGTCGAGGTATTTTTAGAAAAAAATTTCGATGCTGCACGCGCCTCCACGCACCGGGAGAGGCACAGACCCACGTGCCTCCACGCGCGTCATCTTCTTCCTCTAGTCGCCGGACTGGTTTCGCCGGTGCCGGAAAACTGGGGATTTTTCAATCTCCTTGTTCTCCGTCAATTCTCAACCATTTCTTACGCATTTTATATCAAAATGAAGCCCTAAGCATGTAGAATCACGCTATACTACTTTAAGGCTAAAAAACATACGAAATCTCACCGAAGAAAATCCAAGAAAATCGGCTAACTTCGAACCCTACGATCCCGACGTCCAAAACCTTCAAACTAAGTACTCCGAGCTTCCTTGGGACCTCACTAAGCTCCCTGTAAGCTTAGAATTCCCTGAAAATCAACATTTCACGTGTGCATGAACAGTGACATCAAACTGGGGTTCGGATTTCACGTGATTTCGAGGGTTTCCAGTTCTAAAAATGGTACCATTCAACTCAGGAGGTTGCAAGGATGAAGAAACTCACCTTTTTGACGTCGATCCGTGAAGATTTGAGGGTTTGGTGCCTTGTCTGTACAGTTTCGAGAGGAAGAGAGAGAGAGAAACTGAGAGGGAAGAGAGAGAGAGCAAGGGGAGGTGCTTGTCCCGTGTGTGTGTGTGGTCCACCCAACACAAACTCACAATTTCTTAAATCCCTAACCTCACAAAAATGCATACCATTTTAATCTACTTAATTAAATTTTCCAAGAACTTAGGAGAGTATACATTTATACGAATAACATGTCACAAGTACCTTAATAGCCTTTAAGGGCAATTCCGTCATTTCACATCCACAATAAATAAATTTCGGGACAGGCTGTGACAAGGAGTTTCTCCTCAATTTATTATGTGGCCGATTACGGAACTTCATGCTTATGATAAAAAAAAAAAAACTTTATAAAATGAATACAATATGAGATCGTTTAGTCTTCATATTGTATAAAAACGTTTGGACGGATTAGATAAAAGTAGTAAGAACCACATCTATCTATTTTGTTATAATTGATTGACTAAACAACTTTTGTTTTTAGGGAACTTTAACGAAAAGCACCCGGTACTGTTCACTTTAACGAAAAACCACATTTTCACACTAAAAAATCAATCATGGTACTATTCATTTTACCCTTTATTTTGTCCTTATCATTAAAACTCAAAGTTTTCAAGCTATTTTCATTAGTTTTCCTTTATTTTTATTGAATCTTTGTAGAGATGTTCTTTACAGAGATTTATAATATGGTTGAGATGTTCATTACATAGAAATTTATTGTAGAACCTCTAATTATAAACATGAAATTTATTGTAGAACCTCCATTTATAAACATGAAATTCTATGAATCAGCCACAAGTAAACATAAAATATACTATAGATTGGTAGCCGATATCTGTCAATCACTATCATGATAAAGCTTATGTAAAAATAATGATTGGAAGATGTCATGAAACCTAATTTTCGCACAAACATATTTTTCCACACTATCTTAAAGTGGATCTTTCATCTTCTAACTGAATGAGTGTCGCAAAACGTGGATGTAGCCGCATTGGTTATATTAGACCTGATATCCCCTATGTACTCAAATTCGATTACTTTCGGTAGAATATCGCTTATATAAAAGAAAAGGTGAATGAGTGTCTAACCTTAAAGATAACTAGCCTCTACAAAAGATAAAATGAACGACACCACCCTGGATACAAGGGGGTGGGCTTGGGCATGGTGCCCTAGTCGGATTGGCTTTTACTCAAGTCTATGTAGAAAAAACATATAGTTTACTCACAATTGGCGCTAATTATGTTTCTAAAAGTGTGCTCCGTTCAAAGATGGATGGTTACCAATAGATCAAGCTCATATCATTCTAGAATGACCTCTCCAGGATGCGTATAAAAATGCCCTTCAAATTACTTGTTTGATTCAAAGCTAGCCAAGTCCGGCTAGTCGTACTTGCTTGTCTCTCCAGGGAATAATGCTAGAGAGAAATAATCCAATCATCAATATCCACATCATTTGATTTACGAGATTTGATTTAGAAATTTAATCTCTCTAGCATTCCCCTCTCTAGGCTCTGACCTTGTGGGGAGTGAGTAAGAATATTGAAAGAGAGAATTGCAATGCACTTGAAGCAATACAGTGAGTTGCGAAACGACAATGATCATGTTAATATCATAAATTCCACCTAAATCAGTTGGCATACTTTCTGCTTTCTTTGGCAGTAGCACGTAAGAAAGCGCACACGGTACAATGAACCGCTGCCGCCTGCAGCCCCGAACACAGAGTAGGAGGTGCAGAGTCGACACCAGGAAACTGGAGATTTCGCAACAGATTGTAGAATTCCATTTGGCCTATATTCCGAAATCCACTTGTAACCATCCAAATAACAGAAGTTACAAAAAGATTGTCAAATGATTAGGCCTTCATATTAAAAATGTAAACTGTATCGAAAGGCATACAAAACCCAGGAGTGCAACTTGTCAAGCAAACACTGATACATCTTATATCGGCTTGATCTTGAAGTGAAGGGAGATGAGAGAGAACACAAAGCACTTCAGATCCTGCGATCAAATAAAAACGTCATTAAGAAACAGTCATGGGCAGAAAACTCATGCTGAGTCACTCATGAAAGAACTCGTATACTAGGCTAAAAATGGACACAATATACAACATGTGAGGAAACTAAGGTGTTTCATTGCATAAATAGAAAAACCAGCATAGACCCACCACCCATGCAAACTTGGGCAGAGATACCATCTTATCATTCTTCCATAAGATAAGCCATTCAACACCAAACGGTTTGAACATCCGTGGAAAAAGCACTGCCCTGTTAAGCACCTGATTCTCAAAAACTCACATATGCACATAATAGCATGTTCTCTCCATCTACGACATAACATACAAGAATGCATTGAATACTAGAAGTGTATTCCACAGAACAAGCTCAAGCTCATACCATGCAGCAATTATACACGGTGAAATCTCGCTTATAGGAGGACATAATTACAGCAGTGACATGTATGAGCTATCAGCATTATGCAATGAGAATCCAGGAAAGGAAAGCATCTCCTAATACTAAATGAAAGTGCAAATTAACTAACCTGAACGAGATAATAAAAGATACGAAGACCTTCAGGATCCTTACTGCTCTGGACATCAACAAGCGATCCGATCTTTGAAGTAGTGAAGGAGATATGCTCATTCCCCATTACAATTTCAAGCTCCTGCCGCCCAACACGGTCAGGTTCTGGCCAGTTCACGTCATCTTCCTTCATGATCTGAATTGAAGCAAACATGCAACCAATTAAGGAAATCAGGACAGCAGAATTCCAATACTCAAATTCCGGGAAGAATACAGTTCCCAAGATCAATCAGTTTGACAAGTACTTTCACTGTTCAGTTAAGATAAAACGAATGTTTGTTTTCCATCCTTTAATAAAACATGAGCTAATTCCACCCAATATCAACGTTTCCTTTAACCTTATTAGATGGCAATCTGAAACAAGTGTTATTAATTAATGGAAAAATAGAACTTCATGTTTTAGAGGTGATTTCCTTGCTCTTGATTCCCCAATTTGAACTTAATGTTAACTGAAATATTAGAAGAAAATTCAGATTGCTATCAATACCTGAGAATCCAAAAATACACTCCAATAATGTTACTATTAAATACTAGTCATCAATGACTTTAGGCAACCAAAAGCTCACAGTTTCTAACTTAATACACTTATTTTATCTAATATTTGCCTCACTGGACAGGCACAATTTCCTTGTCATTTCCCCAATCTCGAATTTTCCATGCTCTCAGCCTCCAAGCAGGAAACCCAAAAACTTTAACCAAAAGGTGGTAGTATATTGCTGAAACCATACATTAAATCACCTCTAAAACCAGCCACATTAAATCACATGTAAAACCAACCACATTAAATCACAATTGCTTAGATCCTACGAGAACCAAACACATATATACTTTACTTTTTCTCAATCCCCTGACTGCTTGAGGATGAGATAGAAAAGCCTAAACCATCAATCAGATGACCATAAACCTATGTTTTGGATGAGGGGCTTTCAAAGTACCAAGGAACTTTACACTTAATTGGTATAAATGCACCAGAAGGATATCAGCAATGAGCTACTCAAACACTACAAATACATTAAACAAAGTACTTTCAAAATAGAACCTTGAAAGGTGTCATTTGAAAGTTTTGCCAAATGTATTGGACCAAGTCATTTTGTAGGGCACGCCTAACAAATTTAGCCTAAGTTACAGGAAGTTTAAATTTCCTAATCCAAATATAGGGTAATAGTCATAAGCTGAAATGCATTCACGTTCCTAACACAAGACATGAAACCTCTTTTAAACTCAATACCACCTTATTTTCTTCGACCTCAACTTTCACAGAACCCAAACGAAAATCCAAGGCTAAAGCGGAAACAAATAATCAACATAACGTAAATAATTAAATTAATAGACAGTTAGACACTAACAAGTGACAATCCAAACAATCCAGCCCCCGTAAAATATCCTCAATCATGCACGAAAGATCCACCTTGTTTCCCTTCCCCCAATCTGAGAAACCAAACAGAGAATATCCCATTTACGCTAAATTCCACTTAACCCATCAAATTTCCCACAACAAACACAAACCCACATAACAAAACACCCTTAAATAAATAAAAATAGCAGAAATCCCTCAAAATTTCCTAAAACAAACCCTAAACTGCATAATATAATTCCAATACAGCACCCAATAACTCATATAAAACACCAAAATATCGTACTTCTTTTTGCAATGTAGGCAATTGTAGCATTACACTGACCCCAACAACAGACGAACCGTAAAACCCTAATCACCAGATCAAAAAAAAAAAAAAGAACCCTTAAACCCTGAAACCCAAAACAAAACAAATAGAGAGATTACAAGTGACAGAAACAAAAGGGTTTACAATTGAAGACGAACCTCACTCTCCGAGATGATACGACGGCACTCCCTGACGACGGCGGGAGTGACGTAGACCTCCTTGCGGATGATAGTGTCGTTCTTGTAGTTGGAATTGTTGGCGTAGCGGAGCTTGCCGTCGGGTCGAAACTCGAACTCCAGGAACTCGTGGCCGAACTTGCCCTTGTGGCCGACGTAGTACCTAAGGTAGAACTCACTGTTCTCTTCCTCTCCGGCCATCTCCGTCTCTCTCGCTTGCTTTTTGTCCTTTGAAATCAGATGGAGCGGAAGGAAGGAGGAGGAGGGGGTTTAGATTTGAGGGCTTCAGGCGAAGGTAAAAGGGGTTGAATTTTGTGGGTCGCGCGACTCTCGTGCTGGGCTTAATTGTAAATTAATATTTTAGAGGGCCGGATCTGTGTTTTCGAACAATGAATTCATATAACTAAAAAGGTTTTTGAAATAAATATTTTGAATTTCAAAAGCACTTAAAAAGTTTTCTGCTTCTTCTAGGAAGCATTTAAGTGATTTTTCAGGATTTACTTGTATTTTTACGAAGAATTGGTTTTAAAATCAATTTCACCAAAAATATTTTTAGTTATTTTAAAAGCATATTCAAACGAGTGATATGTGTGCGGCCAAATCTAAATGGCTGACAACAAATCAGTCAAACCAAGCTTAAGGTGAAACTAGGTTATAAATGACCCGTTAATAACCGAGCTTAAGATGAAATTGGGTTATAAATGACCCGTTAATTATTGCCCAACAGAATTGGACAATATTTACAAAAATTGAATTGTAACTTCCCCGTGCATTAAAATATTTTCATTGAGTTTCACAGACCGTCTCCGGCAGCGTCTTCCACACGACGAATTCGAAACGAACCAGAGCTTTCGACTTCAAATATTGTTGAAGGAAAAATGCAGGGCAGTGTATTAGTAGGGGTAAAATACAAGGTTTATCAGACAAAGGGTATTTGATAAGAGATTCCGAAAGTTTACGAACCAATTGTTCATTCATAATAAACATAAGATCTACATTATCATCTCTTAACACCACCCAAATTCAGCAAAATACAAGAAGATTTGGTCAATTATTAAACTAGAAAAAGAAAAAGAAAAAAAAAAACAAAGATCAATAGCATTGCCTCCTCCCTAGCCCATGAATGCAACCAAGGTTGCCAACACAAGTGGAAACCCAAGCATATTCATGTCAAGAGTATTTGCTGCTCCCTTAGGAGGCGGTGGTGAAACAATGCTTCCAGGAGTGGTGGGTGTAGATGGGGTGGTTGACGGAGTACCACTTGGGGTGCCAGCTGCTACAACGTTGACCGAAAGCTTCATGCCATTACCACAGTGACCTGCAGAAGGGCATATGAAGTAGGCTGGACCAGGTTGGGAGAGGGTGATTGTTGTGGCGCCATCATCATAGGTTTTTAGGGAATTGCTTGAACTGCAACTGGCGAAGTCAGCTTGGTTTACAATATCCACTTTGTGGGAACTACCATAGTTGAACACTGGTAAGATCAAATTTTAGGTCAAGAGGTGTTAGAGAAACATGTTCAAGTGCCTATGAGCTCCCTATTTTATAGCGTAGAAAGAGCAATCATGGGTTATGAAGAGCATGTGATTACCGAGAGTGTCACCAACAGTGAAGGCGTTACTTGCAGCCCAAGAGTCATAATCTACCGATGTGCTCCAACCAGAGGCGTCACCGACAATGTGCTGCACTCCATACACTGTTGGGGCTGCCAGCAGGAGGACCAGCAGAGCTGTTGCAATGGCCATGTTTGAAGTCTTCTCTGTGTAGTTTAGAGAGAGAGAGAGAGAGAGAGAGAGAGAGAGAGAGTGCTGAGGACCCTTGAGCATGTAATATGTCATATATAGGGAGGCAGCTAGCTGAAAGTATAATGAGTTGTTAGTAATATACAAATAGGAATGAGAGAGAATCATTCACCTACCAACAACACCTTTATTTGGTTTGGGTGCTACTATTTTCCTACTACTAAAACAATTATTCTTATGTATAGCTTTAGTTGTTAAGGACTTGGTGGAGATGATGCACATTATTACTCAATTCTTTGTTAAAATAGAGAAGGAAAACTAGAGCAGCTTTTCGTCAACTTTCGTGTGCTAGGCAAAAGTATATGCAAAAGGTTAGCTTAGTCATTATGTCCTCATACATTAACACAGAAACCCTAGCAAAAGTTAAGCTAACCTAATGAAGTAGAAGGTCAATATATCTGTCAATTTTCCCTTTCGATTTTAATTTTAGTCAATTATCTCCTGAAATTTTATAATTACTAATTTTCCTCCTGAACTTTAATTTTATCCGATTACCCCTAAACTTTTTAATTGGCCAATTTCCCCCTGGCATTAGATTTTGGAGTTTTTTTAACCAATTTTCCGTTCATCTTGGTCACGTGCACGGCACATTCCAACTATTTGAGGGCAAAATGGTAATTTTATTCTTAATGTGGACAACATATTGTTTTCTTCTTCTTCTCTTCCGCTAGTTCAATCTCAAGACCCAAATTCAAATAAGAAAACTAATTACTCATCTCAACAAATTTGTTACTATAAACTGGCCAATTATAAACGTTCATGAATAATCGGCTAAAATTAAAGTTTAAGGGGGGAAATTCCCCAATTACGAAAGTTCAGGAGTTAATTAGCTAAAAGTAAAGTTTGGGGGGGGGGGGAATTGGCCAATTATAAAAGTTTAGGGGGGGTAATCGGTTAAAATTAAAATTCTAGAGAAAATTGCCAGTTCCTTACGAGTTTGGGGAAAAATCCGTAAATACCTCTACATTCTATACGTGTGTGTATATATACGCATGATTTCATCATTTATATCAATGTATTTATTTTTGCTCTATCATTGCCACCTAACATGAGATAAGGAACATCAAAATGTAGAGATTAGGTACCCTTTGAACCCACACCTTTTGTTCTCTCATGCATCTTCAAATATTGGAAAATGTATTTGTTAGCCTTGGGAAAATGATTGTTGACTGTGTAACACCAAGAAACCGGTGGAGTTGTTAAAGCATTCCTTATTTTATTCATGAGCCATACATGTTCAAACTTCTTCCTCTCATATATGACATAATTTTGAAGTAAAAAGCGATGCCATTTCGATCGTTATCGCCACACCTAAACCAAAAACTAGTATAGAATAGGCACCACACAAGACCAGAGGTGAAGTCAAAGGATATGGCCAATGCGATTGAGAGTCGCTTGTTCGACCTTTGTAGAGAGTGTCACTCACGTTACGATTACAGAGGAAATTGTAGCAATGGTCCCTCAACTTGAACTCAATTGAAACAATTGTTCCTCAACTAAAAATCCATGACGAATGGTCTCTTAACTCCTCAAAAGGTGCAACTATGATCATTTTCGTCAACTCCGTCAGAATTTTAATCGTGTTGAAAGAACCATTGCTACAATTGGGTTAGAGTTGAGGGATCATCGTTCCAATTGGGTTTAAGTCGAGTGACCATTCATCAAATTGGGTTAAAGTCGAAGGACCATTTCTACATTTTTTTTTCATTTAGTTTCCCATATTTTCCCCTTCATTCTGACCTCACATACGTGGCACATAACTCATTTTAATGGAAGTTTAACGGAATTGACGAAAAATACTATAGCTATATATTTTGATGAATCAAAGGACCAATAATCATGGATTTTTAATTGAGGATCATTACTCTATTTGGATAAAGTTAAAATACACTTGGTACAATTTTCTCTACGATTACATACAAGAAGCCATATGCTATTCTCTTATTCAAACAAATTAAATATTTCAAAAAACGATTGAAAACATGGAGATAAGTCGTTTGGAGATGACGTTTTAAAGCAATTTCGGCAAGCACCAGCTGATGCACTACTTTTCTTCAACGTAATTTTTTGGTGTACTTGGAACACCGTCACATGATTTTACTATTTCACCCAAATTGTAACACATGCATTGTTATAACCTAAAAGTGAGACATCTCAACTATGAATGATTGGCAGTATGTGATCAAAATGACAAACAACGAAATATAATAATATGTTAAAGATTGGCATTATTGTGTGTGATGGAATATAATTATTATAAATGGTCATAACCAAATTATATCTAGGGTCAACAAATAATAAAATTAACGTAAAAGGGTTTGGTTTGGCTTAAGCTGTTTTCGAATAGGTCCACCGAACAAACTAAACTAATCAAAGATTCCTTTAATTCAGTTTAATACAGTCTTTGAAACCGAACCAAACCACTCTGATTAATAACAAATGCACATTGTTTGACGATTTGCCATTGTGGCTTGCACAATAACAAATGGAATCTGATTAATTGTTACACGATTCGGAAAGAAGTAGTATATATTGGACGGAACAACATCAATCAGAAACCAAAACAAATACATACCTTTCGCTCAAACCCAATTTGATTTCCAACGATGAACCCTAACACCCAACTGCGTGAGATTCATTGTTTCATCGTTCCACTCTCTAATTTCAGTCGAAGAATTCTGTTTGCGCATTCGGATTCGACTTCAACTCGCAATTTCTACTTCAGAATGGCTAGCGATTGTGAATGAGAGTTCTAGTTATGAATGATGAACGGAAGGGATGTGATGACCATCTCAGCCTCACACATGAGGCTCATGTGCAGGCTATTAATAAGGGAATAACGGAAAGTTTAATTTTGAGAATATATCTTAATAAATTTCACCATATGAGTTTAAATCGTAATTTTTTACCATATAAATTATCTTCTGAATACTAATGATCATAAGGACCGTTTATCCGATGAGGCCAACAAAAAAATGGTGTGTCTACTAGTGCTTTAAACTTTAATCCAAAAAGTTGTGCTTTGGAATCTCAAATTTTGAATTAAACCAACCCTCGTTGGCAAACTTGTGAATTAAATTTGCAATTTGTGTTAATTTATTTGTAGAGTTTTCTGTTGTTATGTATGATGTGATTGAGTTGGGAGTTGGTGGGTTTCGTTTCTCAAATTTTGAATTAAACCAACCCTTTTTGGTGAACTTGTGAATTAAATATGTTGTTAATTTACTCCTGGTGCAAGGACAACACTTATTTCCATTATTGTGGTAGAGAGCCACTTGCTCTGTTGTTATATGATGTGATTGAGTTGGGAATTGAAGGGTTTCTTTTCTCACTATTTGCATTTTGCCATGCCACGGCCGGCTGAGATGGGTGTCTAACTTTTATTGCAAAAATTATGGGTGATTGGGAATCTTCAATTGGATTTCTTTTTATTTTTTGGTATCAAAGTGTTTGGGAAAGAATCAATAATAATTAAATATTTTAGACTTTAGTCCATGTTTGATGCCATTATATGAGAAAATTATTCAG